CTGATTTGCTTATATTCATCGACATGCCAGCACGCGGTGTCCAGCGGAGGAAGCAGGGACGATCGTATGCCCCGAGACACCCGCATTGCGCGCCGAAAGAGGCGACTCGCCCATGCTCTGCGAAGGCCTTTGAGGCGCACAGTGACCCAGTCGCCTGGGTGCACGTGCAGACCCGGCGCGGACGCTGCTCGTTGTTTTACTGCTTTCTGTGCTGCTATTTTTGCTGAAGTCACGGCTGTGTTTGCTGCGTGCGTCATGTAGAGAATAGCCTTGCTAAATTTCCCGCGATCGAGCTATTTCGAACTTTGGCCGGTTATGGGCGCCGTCGAGGAGTACCTCTCGGCCTTCCAAACCGGTTTGAGTCAACCGGGTGATGTGTTGAACGTGCCCGTAACTTTGCTCGACGACGCGTGGGTTGCTTCGCATCGAATCTGCGCGGATGCGACCTTGGTTGGCCGCGTGTTTGCCGCCTCGCCCCTTTTTGATGCGAAAATTGGCGCTTTTCGTTGCCGCGCGCGCTTTCGGCATCGTCGAGCCTTGCAAGGCCTTCGATCGTTGCCTTTGCGGCTGCGTTGCAGCGCTGCGCGCGGCGTTGCAAGGCGCGCAGCGGGCGCGGTGGCGCGGGGGCAGCGGCGGGCGAAGCAAACCACGTGGGAGCAGAATTTCTAAGTCGAATTGTCTCGGCAGATGTATCTTTCGATTCTATGGCGCCCCGCTTCCATTGGCCGCTCAGGTCGAAGATCGACCCTGGCACCAAATACACGTTACGTCGCACGGGGACGACACGCGTTGCGCCTGCGGCAGCAGGTTCTTCACCATCGTCCTCGCCCTCGACGAGCCGCATCGCGTCCGTAAGCACTGTCAAACCGCCGCGGTCGTCGCGCGCCATATCGGCTGTATCGAGGCAGGAAACGAGTGCACGACACGAACGAGCACGGCAAAGGTATAGCGTCAGCTGCTCACAGCAGCTTCCAAACCCTTGTGGCCCGACGTACGCGAAGCAAAAGCACTGGAATCGATGCAGAACGCGAGAACGGCTCGATCGCTGAACCACGCGCAAAGCGTGCGGTCTGAGCACGTTACCGCTCGCCGCGAATGCGTTCCGCGCCGTTGCAGGCCAAACCACGCGGCACAACTATGCGTACCAATACTGTCGAGACTCAAACGGCTTCAGCGGGTCGCGCAACGACCCTACCGGCGATCCTGAACCATCGACAAGTGTGATTAGCTCGATCGCGGGAAATTTTGCGGGGGGTATTCTCCGTATGGTGTTGAAGTGCGAGGATGATTCGCTTAAGTTCCGCCTTGTTGCGGTGATGGCCAAATGTTATAAGCTGCTGGCGTTTGGCCGGGGGTAAACCGACATACGACCGCGATCGACCCAGCGACACCCAAGAACTCCCGCGACAAACCCCGGGACGGTACCGATCCACCCCCCGGGAACAGAGGAACGCGCCCGCTAGCCCTTCCCCACGTTCTAAGCGCATCATAGTAACTAAATAGAGCGAGAAACCCCCCCGGGTCGACCGCGGACGGAGCCCGCCCCATTAAAAACGTTTAGGGCACCGCGAAACGGCCTCGGTGGGCTAGCCTCTAATCAAGCCCGCCGAGCGACATGAGGGGCCGGAACGACATCAGCGGGCGTACTTGTCGCGCATCGCCACCGGGGGAGTAGCCTGATAACTGGGGGAGTTAAGGCGGAATTGGCCAACTCAGGGCGCTGAGCTTGCTGCTTGGAGGGGAGACAGAGGGATACCTATAAGAGGACCACCAGGTAGCCAAAAGGCAAGCAGAAGGCTCGCCTTTCTATCCCAGAGCGGTCGTCCCCTGTCAAGTCGCTACGACTGTTACAGGGCTTGTTGCCCAGGGTGCTTGAGGGCGCGCAGGAACTCGCCCCATGTAGCAAGACGCTGCGCACCTGACAGCGTGCTTGCTTTAAGGGAAGACCATTTGGCGTCAACATCAATGGCGACACCTTCCATGTCTTTCCATGCAATTGCATGCTTTTCGTTTAGAACGGAGACATCACCCTTTACTAGGAAATCCCACATCTGCCAGCCTTCCTTGAGATCTCTAACCATCTTAAGCACCTTATCTACGGAATCATCCCGTGAAACGGACCTCCAGACCTCTTTTTGGGTAGAAACCTCGACTAGGGGTGAATCAGCGTCGAGATCATCATCCTGTCGCTCGACGCTGTAAAGCATTTTGCCTCCAAAATGAGAGAATGTGCGGAAGTCGGATGAAGCCTGGTCGAGAACGAATCTTACTCGGAGCATCAGGACCTCGCGGTCAACATCGACACCTTCATCAAGGAGCTTACCATCCACGTCCTCATAAGGGGGGTTGTCATGGCCCTGCGCATCTTTGCTCTTTTGCGGAGTGGTGGAGGCTTCTGCGACATCATCATCTACACGAACCAATTCATGCAGAAAAGATTCAGGTTTAAATGGAAGCTTCCGTGACTGGTCAGTTTTGTCAACTTCGCGGATACCGCTGTGTGTGTTATGTTCACTCAAGGATCGGATGAGCGCTGTGCGGGCAGCATTGGGATGAAGCTTTGCAACACACTCAATAGCAGAGCAAATGCGATCAATCTCAGCCTCAGCATGGTGGATTGCCAAATGCATGCGCGTCGCGTGATCATCTCGATCCTTTAGGCGAGCACCAGCGCGCGTCGCGCGGCCACGTTCGTCCTCAAGGCGCCTCGTTGCGTCCTCGCATGCGGCTGCATGGGCCTCCGCACGCGCCTCGAGCCTTCTGCCGTGTGCCTGGAGCTCAGCCAGAGACCTAACGAGCTCCGCGCGTGTGTAAAGCCCCTCGACACGCCCATAGATAGCCTGGTGGTGCCAGGCTCGCATTAGCTTCTGTCTCAGGCGGCGCTCACGCGCACGCGCGTGTGTTGCTACAAGTCGCCTCTGGTCCATTCGCCGTATGCGACGTGTCCTGGTAAAGAGGTACCAAGCTCGTAGAGGTCTGCCAAGAAGCTGACGACCTGTCTCGTGCCAAGCTTTTACGGCCTTCGACCTCAGCTCGTGGCGCCGCGTGACGGCTTTGCGCCAACAACCCCAGTGAGCCAGACGGGTTCTTGCATCAAGACAGGTTCGAAGTTTCCGCCCTGCCGCCCATGCGTCATACCGCTGTCGCCAATGCGCCCAGTAGGGTTGAATAAGGTGCCTGCGAACACGCTTGCGGACGAATCGATCAACCAGCCGCTGCGAGTAGCGTGGCACATAGCATCGAGGTCGCGGCCACAGCTTTCGATTCAGCGTGGCGTTCGGTGAGGTGTAGAGATATTCCGTCCAAGGGTAGAAAACAAACCCGTATACAGTAGTCCTATAATGCTTTATGGCCATTTCTGACGCTGCAATCTGCATTGTGACTGCCCGCCGTAGCGCGACAAAATGGTGTCGCATGCACCACCAAACTTGCTTCTTCAAGGCCGCGTGATAGATTGTCCGACTCATTTCACGGTAGACCATGTCATTAGTGATTATGAGTCGCTCTGCAGGCTCACCAGCAGCTTTCTTTCTGGCGCAGATTAGACCCTCGACCTCCTGGACGCGACTGCGAGCAGCATGAAGTGCCTCGGCGCGTCGTTGTCGGCAACTCCGCACTGACTGAGGCCCTACGCAATCCCTGCGCCAGGCTCGCAGAACTTTGCGCAGCATAGTCCTATCACGTTTAGCCGCAGCCGTGCGGCTCGCCGTGCGGATGTACTCTACATGTCCCCGTTGCGCTAGCGCCTCCATATACCATGCTCCAAAGCAGCGCTGTGTGCGCCTGACCTCGCGTTCAGTGCTGCTTGCACGCACGATATTGTCCATTTTCCGCTGTCGCAGTATCTCAAAGCGCGTTGTGTGAAGTACAAAACTAAACAGATGATTCCGCGTCTTCCAAAGAGCCGCCGCGCATCGCACACGCCGTGCGCGGCAAAGAAAGCCACGTGCGATGGCTTCAGTCATGATCGCTGACTGCGTTTCGTGTTCCTCTTTTGAGTTCACTATTTGGCCATGCGCCATTTCTAGTTTAAGCAGCATGCGACCAACCCCAATTAGTGCGCTATCAACCAGCTGGCAGTCTTGCTTGACACTAGCTTGGTCCCAAAGCTCAATCCCATGATCGATGTCAGACGCGCCTTTGTTCCTTGGTGCCCTTTTGCGCGCAGTCGCCAGCACAGCTGGTGATCCCGTATTTACCACATCCTGCATTTGGGCACCAACAATGTTTGATGCTTTGGTCCGTTTGATTGAGATGAGCTCATTTTCAGCTTGTTCAACCCGTACCGACAGATTATTGATTTGAATCAACAGCTGTTCGACCTCAGCATCCATCGGGGGGACCAGTGTTGACATGCCCAGCTCTATTTTCCGCCGCGGCCGTGTACCTCCTGCTGTCGGCGTTGAACAAGGAACGGCCGTCGTTCCTTGAATGGGTTGGAACGGCCATCGTTTCGTCGCAAACCTTCTCGAACCTGTGTCAATTGATGCACCTGACATAAAAAGCGGCCTTCCTGGCTTTTGCCGAATAGTGTATGAGAAGTGGTCTGCCGGATGATCGAAAATCCGGCTAGTTGGGAACCGCGGCCCTTTCGGCAAATTTTTTTTTTCGGGCCCGCGGATGTCCCGAAAGAATGCATCCTACGCGCCAATTATATCTAATTTTTGCACATTCCCATCCCAATCTGGGATTAGGATTGAATGATCGACTCACCTCTACGGACTTGGAACCAGACAGAGCTCGGAGGCCTTGCGGGCGTTCGAAAGGCTGTCGTCCAGACTTCGGCAAAGGCTCTCTGCTTATCCCGATCGAACGCATCGCAGCCCTGGTTAACGCGCCAGCTATAATTAGCGACAGGATATAGAGGTCGCTGACACTGCCTTCAAATTGCATTTACGCCAGTACAATATGGAGCTGACTTGAGCTGAGGGGCTTCGGGGAGGACAAGTTAATCCGCGTTGTTCCAAGCCCTCAGAAACCGACGCGTTAGGACGCGTGGAACAGGCCCTCGAATTTAATTCGAACATTTTTCTAACTTAGTAAACACAGAATTTTGCAAAGGGGATTCCTTGTGGTCAGTATAGTGAACTTTAAAAAGGGATCTATCTGAGTAGGGTACTAGTCTCAATCATCATCATCCCAACAATTTACATTACCTTGCTCCCTCATCATCGCGACGTCACACTATGGAGAAGACACTGCACTCCTCTTAACGTATAAATCAACAACTAAAGATTACGGACTTTCAGGGGGCTTGAAGGGCAGTTTGACAAGGTAAGCGGCGGTGTTGCAGTTTGCCCTGAAAATAGCCTTTTGCTATCTTGAAGGAGCTTCAAAGTTGATTTTTTTAGGGGGCTAGGGTTGCGGTTGCCCCCCCCCTCAAACTCCGGTTAATTCAGGGCTGACGTCCTCGGCCCCGGCGCCTGGCCGGACGTGTCCCAGGGGCCCCTGGGGCGGGGGTGGCGCGGGGGCGCACCCGCGGGGAGCGGTCTTGGCCGCCTCCAGCGGCCGCGGCGAGAAGCGCTGGAACCATTGCGTAGCCAATCAGCGCCTCGCCTGAAATGCGAAATATCGCATTTCGGCCCAGATACAGCCGCTCGAAATCGACATCGGTGTCGATAGCGTCGTTTGCATGGTCTGCTGATCATGGTTTTTGGACCATGGCGCGCACTCTCTACTTCTTCGCGCACAGCCGAAGGTGCGCCGCGAGCGTGGCCGGTTCTACGGGCAGCCCGTCGTCGTTGCCGCCGCGGGGCAGCCCTTGTTGGGGCCGTCGGTGGTGAACGTCCAATGAGCTCGTCACGCTTTCGCCCTCGCCGCCGTCGTCGTCACGTTCGTGCTCGCGGTTCCGGTGGGTCCTGTGGCGCGCATGATTCTGGCACGGGCCTTGCGGACGCTCTCGTACTCGAGGCCACGGTTTTTTGCCGGGGCGGCTGTCGCGCTTCTCGCGCGGCATGGACATGCTCTCGTTGCAGCGCGCGGTACACCATGAAACCGCACATGCAGCTCGTCTGCCAGGGCTTCCAGGAGAGGATGATGCAGATTGATTTTGTAGGTCCGCCGTTGCGACAGGTTCGACGCAGACGATGGCCGCAAAGACCAGCCCGCGGTCGACGATGGTGCCGCCCCGTCGCAGTGTGAAAACCAAAATAAAATCCTAATAGTCCTGGGTCAAAAAGTTTGCACGATCAGTGCAATGTTGAAGTTGACTCTCTACGTTTCCCCGGCCCGAACCCGCGACCCGCGCCTGAAACGCGTCGGAATCGATGCGATTGGACAATTTAACGAGCCGTGGTTGACTCGGTATGATATATTCGACCGATTTTGCCGAGGGTCGAACGAAATTGAGGTTCACCGGACCACGCGCGCGCGCGGTCTACGTACAGAGTAGTCACGCCTCCCGCCTCAGAATAATAAATAATACTTCTATGGGGGGTCCTCCGCCTATGGTTGGTTTCCACACTGCCCCGTCGTGCTCCGCACGAGGCACGCGATGACCCCCGTTGCCCTGGTCGTGATCGAGCACGGGGCGGCGCAATGACTCCGTTTTTGACTGTTTACCCGCGGGCTTTGTTTCGCGCGCACGCGCGGCACACCACTAGCGGCACACTACCCGAGCCCCTGGCCGACGACGTCCCTCGTGGACGCCCCCCGACTGGGGCGGACGCGTCGTGGCCGGTTCTGGGACCACTCGGTACCATTAGCAATTGTTTCGTACTTCTGGGGGGGGGGTCGACCGTGGTCAGAGCCAGGGTGGGGCAGTGGGGGAAATTGAAATCGCAAAATCGTAAGGGGCTTGGGGTATTTCGGGTCCGCGGAAGGGTTCTGGAGGGCTTCTGGAGGGCTTCTGGCACGTGGTTCGGGGCGGGTCGCGCCCCCTAAGGCGTGGGCGGCGCGTCAGAGGCCCCGCAGGGCGTGAGCGGCGGTGTTGAGGTCCCTTTTGAAGGGCAAGCGGCTGTGTTGAGGTCCCTGTTGAAGTGCAAGGTTTGAGGTTGAAGCCCAAGTTGAAGCGGCGTTTAGCATATCCCGCCGGCGGGATACGTTACCCTAGTTTGGGGTATTTCTCCTTAGACTCGGCCACCGTCACGGTGGCATTTCCTGCGGCGAAGCGGCCTCATTCTGCTTAGGTCGTGGCACTGCTCTAAGAGCCGCGGCGTTGCCTCACCCATAGCCCGGCATTTCCTGCCTTTGGGGTATCCTTGGCCCTACAATCGCCCGAAGACGAGGATGCGCAGCCCAACTGGCGGTATATGCAGCTTCGAGTGGGGGCGATTATCAAGATACAATTCCAGCGGGGGAACATCCCCATGTCTTTCATCTGGGGTTCCTGGCCCGCCTTGACCCAAACTAGCCAAGCACTTGAGCCCGAGATAACCTTGGCTCGGTGTATGCCACTTATGTAGATTGGGCTATAGTTCATTCCCGCTGTACTGATTCTCACATCACACGCCAATGTTCCAGCCTGCTATGGAACGCTGCAAGTTCACCATCCTGCGCCCTTGCAATCGATTCGGAAAGAGGCCGAGTAAATACAGAATTGCCCACAGAGACGGCCAAGACCTTGGTGGCAAGCGTGCGGCCGGAAGAAATGGCAAGTTTTGGATGCCAGTCCCCGAGACCAAACTCGAATTCTTGGGCGAGCACGAGTGACTGGACTGGGGCAGTGACATCCCTGTCGAGATCAAAGGTGTGGAGGTCGCCATTGGCATACAGAACGAAAAAAACGTTGGGCCTCTGAGGAGACCACTTGATGTCCGAAACCATGGTCATATCTGTGATGGCCCACGATGCCGACCGCGCCTTGTTTACGATTATAGGCCAAGAGTAAAGCGGCGTGGGACGATCGAGGTGATGAAGTCTGCAGCCACCGTCGAGTTGGCCGGCCAGGAAGACCTTGCTAACAAAGGGCGAGAAGTGAAGGCAGGTTGTGCGCAGACCCGCTTGCGATGGCAACACTCCTTCGTCTACCGTCCTCTTTGACTCACCAGAAATTGACAAACGCATGACATCTGCCGAAGCAAAAAATATGCAAGGCTCTGCAGCAAGGCCCAGTCTTGAGCATTTGACGAGGTTACCGTCGTTTAGGCCAACCTACAATTGTTTGCACTTACTGGTCGCACTAAACTAAGAAAGAATTAGCAGGTGACACTGCTTATATAACGAGGAACTCGTTGGGATCAGCAGGTGACATGACAAATGAGGAAATGCTTGGTCCAATGGGCGTTTCATCGAACACGGAGAAGTCAGGGCTGGTGGATTCACACCTATCAGCTGATTGCGCGCGGTAACTGCCACCGCACGGCGCTAAAAGCAAAGGCATCGATGACCAAATCGAAAGAGATCGAGTGCAAGTCAGGCGAAGAGCGCTGCCAGCACGGACGCCAAGGAGAGATTCATCGGCTTGTGAGACGGTGCCGTGGTTAACTGCTGCAATTGCTGCAATTGCATGTCCGAGCGAGGCAGTGTCTCCTGTCTGTGACTCCACGACAAGCCAGATTGCAATGAACCCACGGTCATCCATGCTAGCAAATTGAAAGGACGCATTACCGCGTGAGTTTGCCATGGAATCTGACATGGGACATATGCCAAGGACTTCAGAACAGTGCAGAGATTGGTGGCTACATATGCCGCTCGTGTATGCAGCATTGCACAAGCCACCGCCAAATTTACCGTGCTCGCGTAAGTCCCAGAGTGCGAGTGCGCCGCTAGAGCTTCCCGCAACTACAACGAAATTGTTATTAGGGGCAAAACAAGCGCACGAGATTAGTGCCATCCCTTTAAGCGAGGCAGCTGATACGTCCGGATGCAGAGTATCCCATATGGCAAGCTTGGTACCCGCAAGGTTAGTCACATCATCATCATCATCATCATTATTTTCGATGTCGGAGGAAACGCTACTTCGGTGTTGACATGGCGGTTCTCGCAATAATGCTAGAAGAATGGACGGACGTGTCAGCGAGAACGAGATTCCCGTTACTTGCCTACAAATGATGTGATTAACAAATTGCCAAAGACCAAGGTAAATTGCCGACCCCGGCCGCATGCATGCCTTCTCTATTTTCGCCAATGGCCCTCCAAGCGGAAGGAAGGAACGTATCGCCGTTTGGCTCATGATTATTTCCTACCGTGTCAGCCTTAGAGCTGTAGTTGAGTTGCTCAAGAAGGATCTCGACAACAGGGGCCATGTTCCGCACAAAAGCAGGTAATCGTTGCGCTCTAGCGCAACTTGCCTGGGTGTTGATTGGGAATGGCCCCGGCTGACTGACTAATCCCTTGTTGTCAGTTAGGCTAACTTTGCTTGAACTGATATGAACGACGTCACTTTCCACTACCCTCTTGCCACCTAGCTGCGCCATAAGATTTTCGAATTCGGTATCATCATTTCCATTAGCAAATTGCATCTCAGCATCGGCTGCTCTGACCGCTTCGCATTGCATTGAAGTGCTGACTAGATCATCTGCCGTTCCAATTGCACACCTAATAGTCAGCGAGATAAGCTTGTTAGACGACATCTAGCGCCGTTAACACGCTCCCGACTGGAGGCGGTGGCACTGCGCAATTTGAGCCGGTAGAGCTGATGCTCTGTTAATGGAGGTTGATCGAAAGCAGCATACCACTCTGACACTAAAGCCAAACGTGCCCGTAGGGCTTGAGCACGTCGTACTGCCAGATTGGTGGTACTTAGTGATCCTAATGGAATCGCCGATCCAGCCGCCACATACTTGGCCTGCTTCGTACCGGCGCTCTTAGAAGCCTTACCTGATTTCAAACCTTTTGTTTCCCGCCCCGAAGCTGGTGTCTCCTTCATGGCAGCGATATCGTTTGCTGCTGCTGTCGCTGCAACCCTCGCTGCCCGGTTTGCCATGCCGGAGTTCTCATTTTTAACTGCGTCTTGGATCGCCTCTAAGTCGCCCAGGGCTCGCCCGGGCGTACTTCTTTTTTTCGAGGCACCAGTCAATGTCGACATCTGCTGTTTTGACGGCGGTGCTGGTGCTTGCAATTCCACCTCACAAAAATCGTCGTCATAATCCTCAAAGTCGTCTCCGTAGTCGTCTTCTGCTGAATATGTCGAAGGCATGTCAATAGAATACACTGGCAATAAGACCGCTCCTGAGATGGAATCAAATGATGAAGATTATAGCAAGATCGAATCGATATGCTCCATAAGTAAGATGCCGGTCAATATCCAATATTCATACCCGCGTAGATAGTTACAATAATTTAATAAATTATTATGTGGCTCCCCACGATAGGATCCCGGATTAAGCAGCTCGAGATCAAATCGAGAAAGTCGATGGCCAAGAGGGCCTGGGCAGTGGTGATGGGCACCTTTGGAGAGCTCTATCTCGGCGCCATGACGGCGGATTTGGAAGATTCTTGTTGCATCTGAGAGCCTCCAACGCCGTCTTGGCCGCTGAACCACCCACTCGAAATCCTGGGGTGCAACGTAAACCCGGCATTCTATCGTGGGGAGCCACATATTATGATGACTGGGCTACCTTAAGGTAGCACACTGAGCTTCCCCTCTTTTACCCACGACGCCCAGTCTGCTCCTCTCAGGCTTTCTATTCCACATTAAGACAGTATAGAGTGATCCTCTCCTGTTGGGAATCAGGGCTGCTTAGCAGCCCCATCTCGCTTTTCCTTTTACCGTCTAGGTCAGGAGCACTGCCATTTTCCCTCAAGTGAACCATAGCCGGAGCGTTAGAAGCTAGGTTAAGGAGGAGGAGGATACGGGGGATGCGTATCCTAGGCGATGACGCTGGGGGATTTGGGTCATCTGGTTATCGCCAGTAAGTCAGACCACGTACCTCCCGCAGCTGCCCCTGCGAGGTCGTCTCCGCTTGTCCTTTGCACGGACGACTAACGGACGACGGGGCTAATGGGAGATACGAAAGGCCAAGTGGACGGAAATTTAATCCGACTTCTGCTGCCTTGGGCGGCGCCTGGCGCCGCGCTATAGAATGGGCCTTATTCAATGACGTTTTAAGCGTTCAGGGGGGTCCCTCAACCTTCGCTGCGGTCAATGAGGGGTTCCACCGGCCAGCTCGAATTCTATGCGGTATCCAGGTCAGGCCAGCTCCTTTCGACATCAGCGCTGGACTTCTGGATGGGATTGCTCATTCGGATACTAGCTCTCGTGGCTGCTGCCTTATTCGTCGCTGAAGTCCAGCTGCCCCCCTGGATGAACAGGGAATACGCCCGTCTGTCCCCTCGGGACCGCGGTGGGCTGGATCATGCTGAGCTTCTGCGCCCAGATGTGCAAGAAGGCAAGGACGTCGAGATTCCTCACGAGCCAGCTGCTATGCACGGAAAGCCCAAGGTGTTAAAGGCAACCGGTGTCTTCGAGTCTGTGGCAATGATTGCCATATACATGTCGGCGGCGATTGGGATTGTCTATTTGAACGCATATATTTTGACTCAATGGCCATGGGCAGCCACCCTGACAATGTTGCAGATGCTGTTCTGTTCAATCGCAGCGCGGGGCTGTGTGTTCGCGGGCTTGTCGGATCCGGCCAAGGTTGGGATGACCCCAAGGCACTATATGACCATCTGCGTGTAGACTATCCGCGTCCGAGGCGCTGGCGACCCCCCCCCGCTCCGATACCACATTTACGTAAAAAGAGCTTATCTGGCTTGTAGGCCTCTCGCGCTACTATACACATTTTACCTTTATGGCTCTAACGCGGTGTATGACTACCTACCTGTTGGGTACATCCAGCTTCTGAAGCCGGGGCAGGCAATCGGCGTTTACATCCTTCTCGCCATGGCGGGGAAGGAGGCTGTCTCCATGCTTCCGGTCTTAAATTTGACAGTCATCCTCGGTGCAGTCGTTGTCGCGAGCGTGGCGAAGTCGGAGGTCGCGGGCTGGTCGACGGCTGGCTTCATGTTCATGATGGTCAGTAATGCTTGTTATAGCTTCTATCTTGTGGGCCAGCAGCTTGTTCTAAACACATCCCTTGGAGGCGGGAAACATGCTTCCAAACTCGATGCCATCACAACGCTCTACTTTCTTGGCCCGGCAACAGCCATGGGCCTTGCCGTCGTGGCTGCTGCAACCGAATGGGGTCAGGCCGATTTTCGATTGACAAGCGTGTCCCCGTGGTTTCTTTTGTGCGACTGCATCATTGCGTTCTCGCTCAATCTTATCCAAATAAATATCATTGGAAAACTCAGTGCCCTGAGTTACATGTTTGCCGGCTACGCGAAAGGCTTTCTAACGGTCGTCATCTCTGTAATTTTCTACAAGGAAGCTGTGGATGGCCTTGAAATTACTGGCTATATCGTGATGCTCTTCGGCCAGCTGTTGTGGTCTCTCCGCAAATTGCGTGCACGATTGCCTCAATCGGACCACGAGGATGCCGGACTGAACCTAAAACTCGGCGGCCTTTTCACATTCTTGGTCGTCGGGCTTCTTTATAGCCTCACGGTTGACGCCTGCTTGGCCGTGCCGTGCCAATAGGCCCTTTCACAGGTTCGGACTTCGCTGTGCCGGGTCTATGGCGCAGTCACAGTGCTCATTGGAACGGAGTCGGCAGTGGACCACCGAGCGCACTTGCACCGCGCCCCTGAATAGTGCAGGTTTCTGGCAACGCTGAAATGTCACCGTCGCTTCACTGGCCCGAAGGTAGGCGGCAGTGTGGCAAACAACGTATGCCTACCGGCCGCCACTGGTATTAAGTGAGTAAGTATTACCTATTGGTTCCGGCCTGCGGCGGGCGGGGCGTGTACTAGGCTTGCACACTTGGTCGCGGATGGAAGGGATATTCTCAAGGACAAGTTGCGACTTAAGATGGCCATGGCATGCTTAAAGCGCCGGCAGAAGTCCCCCAAGCGCAAGCATCCGGTGACAGTGGCCCGCTGAGGTGGCTGCGCCATCCAAGCGCGGTCCGTCGGCCTTCATTCTGGCATCTTTAATTGAAACTGAGCTCAACCCCCCCTTAAGGGAGGATTTTACTTGCTTCCTTTAGCTCAGGCTAGTGGGAGATACGAAAGGCCAAGTGGACGGAAATACTACCATATTGCTCGGGGGAGGAGTTTACCTTGCTTCCTCAGGCTAGCGGGAGATACGGGCCAAGTGGACGTAAACAGAGATCGTCAGTTTAAATAAGCGTGTGGCGCACGAAGATGGAAGCTTTCAACCAGTCGGTCGGGCCGCTGGTCTGCTGTGCGGTGAGCGCGGAGGTTGACCGTATCTGCCGGAAAAACGGAGGCCTGGGCTTTTGCGAGCTGCTGTCCGAGTTCGCATCCCTCTCGTCAGGAGGGGAGCCGTCAGCGCAGAGTCAACTGACGTTCCGAAGTGCGACCAAGCATTTTACGCTCTCTGGAGGGTTGCGTGTGCGATTCGTGGGTGCACGGTCGGCAAGGCTCATGCCTCTCGATCGTGCAGATGCATCGCTGAGATCTGCGGTTGCGCACCAAAAAGGAGAGGCAGTAGACTTGAGCGCCTCATTTAGTGGTAAGTCCCAGACCGTCAGAGGGGATGTGGGTGGAAATCGTCCGCGCGGTGCCTGGTTTGCGCGTTGGCGTATGGCGCTGGAAGCATCGCTCCGCCACGGTGAGTACGACGGGTTCGATTGCCCTGCGGTGCTGGTGCTCGTGGCATCGTCATCTGAACCTGCTGGTGTCGCAGCAGCACTTGAGGAGCTTGGCTCACCGCATCATCTCGCTTCAGGCCTGACCGATGGACACTTCGACGAGAGGGCAACACCGCGCCATGTCCTGGTTCTCCATGACGTGATTGAAGGATTGGGTGATGCGCGAGCCGCGCTGAGCGCAGCTCGCGCATCGCTCCCATCCATCGTCGGAGGCGCTCCGACCATCGCCCGACTTCTAAATATCAATTCCCTTGCACCGGGTGCGACACCGATTGACGTGTGCTACCCGCGCCGATCCGTGCGGGACCCTTCCCCGTCGGTATCCGCGCTGTGCAGTCGATTAATGTCGTAGGTGCGATTTCCATGTCTTGACGCAGCGGATACGGCAGAGCTGCGTCGCTTTACCTCTGAACTTGTGCATGGGGGCGTCGTACCTGCCATCGAGCGGCGTGTCGCCAGCCTGTTCGCCAACGTAAACTCTTCGCGAAAGGGTGTGCGCAACGTTTTAAAATCCTGGCTGCGGCGCCCTCGCGAAGCTGCGTCCGCTCTTTCTGGTGCGCCTGCACTGCCATCAAGACGCACCTTCCTCGAAGCCAGATACTTGTGGCATAGGTTCTGGCACTACTGGCGCAGTTGAGACTGGCGACGGCATCGTCACCGGAGTCAGGTACCGCTTTGACACAATTGAAGCCCAGATACGACTTCTCGCTGACACCACTTTCTCTATGCGCGACTATGAGACTGCTCTCTCCATGTACCGCCTGGCGCGCGACGATTTCAAGAGCGCGGTCACTGTGTCAGGCAGGCCTTTGACCGCAGTCGTGTCCATGTTCAAATGTATCTCGTAGGTGACAGGGCTTTGCTGCATTTGGGTTGCGCTAACGAAATGATTGCTCGAACCTTGCTCTGTCTCGCTTCCCTCAAGCAGCATCGATCTCGAGGTCCAGCAACCAATACACTCGTTGATGCAAGTACCGACGACGGTGCAGTTTCCTGCGCAAATCAGTTTAGTGTGCCATCGGTCGCTTGAGTTGTGGGCGTCGGTCCAGACTTCATGGTACGAATTTACTGCACGATACATCCCTAGGCGCGTCTGGTGATGCGAAGGTGCTTTGGCGAGATGCAATCAGCGCGATCGATGCAGCGACTGCAGCACTGGTAGCAGCTGCCGATGAGGCACGCACAGCCGAGGCGCGAAGTGAAAGTGGGGATTATCGGGCTGCAGGACGGCGGGCAACAGTGGCTGCGCGTATGCTTACGCGTGCTGCACTTGTGGCTGCCGACTGTCGCAACGATGAGGGCGATGGTCTCGCACCACGTGCCAAGCGTCGTTCCAAGGGCGGTCGGTCATGCGCTGAAGCTGCAGCTGATGCGCTCGTTGGAGCAGCCCAATTCGAGACAAATCTGAACGCAGCTGTCCTTTACGAGCAAGCCGCCTGGCGCTATCAAAGCGGGGGCTTTCGACGCAAGTGCGCGCTACACCTGGTCATGGCAGGCCATCGCTATCGCGCATGCGGTGCCGAGGCGCACGCCTGAGCCATGTCATGTGGTGATTCGAAGAGCGCTAATGTGCTATTGCTCACATTGTGCACACTGATCGTAAATCCTAGGTTCACGCTGTTGAGTGCTATGTCGCAAGCAAAGAGGCATACGCGGCCAGCTATGATGCTTCAACCAGGCGTGATCAGTCCGAGAGTGTGACTACGACCGCGCGTGTTAGGGGCTGGGCACGCATCGATGAGCACGTGGAGCATGCGTTGGGCCGTCAGCTCGAGACCCTGGGCCACCACGCGCTTGCACTTCGGTGTACGTTGACACTGCTAGGTAGTGCGCGAGCCCCTGCAGAGCGCCATGCACAGCTCCTTTCAGGATTTATCGCGGCCTGCGTAGCACGCCCTGACGCCCTTAAGCACGCCGCTGCAGCGCTCCGACGCGACCTGCCAAAGATGGTCTTCTGTGGTGGTGGTGAGTCATCAGATCGGGTCAATGCAGCGATCGAAAGCTGGGACTGCGACCACGCTCGTAGTCCGGGAACACTCGAGAGCCTGATAGTTGTCGGACTTCCGCTTCCTGTCATTGTTCACGATGCAGTCATAGTCCGGACGACGGATGAGATTATTGAGGGCGTTGGTGAGGGCGGACGCGGGCTAGGAGTTGCATGGGCCCGGGACCTCCGAACTCGGTTGAATATTGAAAAACGCGCAGTGGATATGTTCGAGGCTCAAAGCCGCCAAAGTATGCAACCTGGAGCCCAGCTCCGGGCTAGATGCGTCGATGCTCAGCTCGCCGCTGAGGCAGCTGCAGAGCGACGGGGGATTTCCATCTTCGAACTGGCAGAGTCTGGCTCTAGTGACGCTGGCCTGAAGACCCGCCTTCTCTTGGATGAGCGCAGTGTGGATTCACTCAATGATCCAGGTCATCTCGAAGCCCGACGTGCAACTTGGCCGCGTTGGATCGCACGTGGAGAAGCGATTGATATAGACGTCCTAGCCCGAGTATCTGATCGCGCGCGCACCTTGAAGTAATATCGAGTCTCGAGAGCGTTGTCTATAGGTTGTTTTCCGCAATGCGTTCGCAGTCCCTGTGGAGCTCTCTGATGTTCACCTTGTCTGCACACTGGAGCAAGGCATTGACTTTGCACGTAGATCTTCCTCGCTCACTCATAATTCAGACGCCGCGCACCGTTCATGGAGTTCATCACAGAGTCGAACTACTCAAACGCAACCACAACAAGACTGCGACCCATTCCTCGCCCAGCTCACAGCGGCTACAGACTCATATGATGCGGACCCCAAATCTAGCTCGCCTTACATCGTGGAACATGTCCATGTGACCTTACCGCCCGGGGGGGGGGGGGGGGAACTCGGAGGTGCACTCGTCCGCCTCCGGTGTGGTGTTTCGGCGCTCAATGGCACACTTCGCGTCGTGGGCGTCCGATGGAAGCTAAGCGGTAAGATCTGGGGTGCTGCGGCGTTCGTACGCCAGGGTCCACGCCTTCGGCGGACGCGCGAGGAGCGTGCCTCCGGCATACGCGCCCCTGACGCATCGCTTGCAGTCCATGTTGTTGGTGATCTACCGCGTGTAATTGCACGTATCCATGGCTTTGGCGACAACGGTGCCCCACTGGCCTGGGATACTCCTGGTGCCCCTCCGAGGCCCTCAAGCTTTGCTGCACTTCATGGGGAGGTCAGACGAGGAATCCTGGAACTTGCTAACATCGGGCGCGCGCCTGCATCAGACATGCTTGTCCGTTGCAATCTCCCATGGATAGCAGTCGGTGGGGAAATAGGCGTCAATTCGCCCAGGGGCGATGTCTCTGTGACACACAGCGCCCTTGGCGCATCAGGTCTTTCCTGGCGTGCCATTGATGTGCACGGTAATCCAATGGTCCTCGGGCGAGGCGAGTCTGCGTCACTCCCAGTTTTGTTTCGTGCACAGGGCGCTGGAGGCAAACACCAACTGCAATTTCTTGTGCAGTACGCTCCGTTGGGGCCGAAGTTCGAGCCAGAGGTACCTCGTTGTTGGCCGCCATTTCAAGATAATGACTTAGAGGCTGGGGATGCTGCGAATAGGTCATCCATGTCGCGTGACCCACACGCAATTGACCTGCCGCCCTTGAGCCGACGCGTGACGCTTTGCATTGACATCACCGTTCTCCCATCTCTCACGTTAGAGACTATCAAGGTCATCCCCAAGTTTAATCGCCCCAACGCACATCATTTATCGATGACGCTCGCCAACTACTATTGCGCAGATGGAGGCGTGTCCAGTGCTCTAGGACGGGCCCTTAGGGTGACCCACGTTCATGCCCTCGGTGATGGGACGTGGCAGCTCCACGATGCTCTCAGCCCCCATGGTCTGCTCGAGCCAGCTCACGACACTTCGCCGGAGCGATGCCCTTCCATGGACGGGCAGCCTACTCATACCCAGGTACCCGTCTCTTCGGCACCTGTCGATATTCGAGTGGGCCGGCAGGAACAGCTTGCGCTCCATTATACTCTGCTAGCTCGTCGCACGACGTGCACAGCCTGGTCTGCTGGCTCTGATATCAACATAGACCTCTTCAGGGTCGAACATGCAGCATCGCGATTTGAGGATGACCTTCTGTGCGTCTCACTGCGCCACCGTCAATCGAGACATAAGATACGCACCGAGCACAAGAGCTTGTTCACGTAGGCGCGCGCGTGATGCACAGCTGATTGATAATGCACGCGCGACTCCGAGAACAATTCAAGCAATCAGGAGGGAGGCGCGCTCAAAGGACATCGATATGGAGCCAACGAGGACCCGAGAGGGCGATGCTGTTGCGAAAGCAAAGGGAGGTGCTTCACGTTTGGCATGCGCCGCTCTAGAGGCTGCATTACCTCGGAGTGCCATAGCGCTCGTTGTTGCGTGGGCTTCAAGTGATGAAAATACCAGCGAGTGCCACGTAGTCCCCCAGGTCTGCGGCCAGCACCATGTCCTCAGTGTTCCGATTGGTCAAACGTTGGCGTCGCGAGTCAAGGAGGTACCTGGGTGCACCTGGCCCTGCTGTCCCATATCCCTCGCGCTCGATTTTGCCGTTGTCCATGTTGAGGACATTGGCAATGGCCGTGCAACTGTGTCCGTCACTGCCATCGTTGCGAATACACTCATGCTTGACGGAATTGGCACGGACCTAGCGGTTGAAGTTTCGTGCATAGACGACGAATTTGGCGACGTCCACTGGTGCGGTCAGACGAAGAGTCGCTTTCCAAAGCTCACAGTTGGTGCAAGTCCTCGTGTCATTTTGCTCAAGGCATCTGTCGCCCGTGCTGGTGTCTTCGACCTAGGTGCACTAGTTGCTATCAGGGCTGTCATGTCGCCTGTTGATCTAAGCTCCAAATCGGATACCACAAGAGTCGCACCGAGGATCTGCGATGCCCTAGCTGAAGGCCCTACATTTATCTTCAAGAACCAGTTCCTCTTAACAGTTGAAGACTCTTCTTCGCAATATTTTCCCGGCAGGGATTATCTTAGCGACACCAGGAAGCGGGAAGTAATAGCGGGCTAGTGCGACGGAGGAACGACTGCATTCTGCAGGCGGCTTCGAGCCTCTGCCCCGGGTTTGAGCGCGGCGCGACCTAGTTTGGGCGCCGCCCGGGGCCCAGGCGCACGATTCGATCGAACTGAAATTGGTCGATAGTTGATCCTCGGCTGTGACAAACTTGAGTCGATGAGGAAAATTCAGCGATCCCATAATTTCGTTAGATCCCGCGTGGGTTGGAATGTCGTCAATTTTGTCCCTTTTGAGTCCGTGGAACGTCACTACTTTCTCTCTTGTCAGCAGCAGATATGTTCTGATAGCTGTCTACCTCTAACCCACCTCAATACTAACCGAGAGATGGAGAGATTGAGCAAGCACCGAGGAACGTTCGTGGGCCGCACAACTTCGTTGACTGAGATGCGATCATGCCCTTAACAACGCCACGATTATTATCCCACATCCCGTAGTTGGCATTTTGTGAGGGCAGCGTTTCAGCGAGGGTAAAGGACCAGCAGGTGATGGGGGGGAAAGGCTGTACTCAATGCAGCTGAGGTAAGCCCAGATAAACCATGGTCCAGTTTCAAGTCTTATAGACAGCGAACTGAAGGAGTGACTGCCAAGCAGGGACAGAGAGCATAGCGCCCTTCTGTGTCTGTGGTGTCTGTCTGGTTAGCGTCACAGCGACGTGCCAGAGAACTAGCTCAGGATGTTTTCCTACTGTGCGCTTCGTAAAACGGATCAACAAAATTCGATTAGTGGATCACAAAACGCGTGCAAATCCGTTGGAATAAAGCTTCCGCATACACTTCTGGTCTATTCCAACAATCCTAGAGCAAAGAAGTGGCTGAAACGCGCCCTGCCCGACCCAATATTGAAGTGCAAGTTGAACATGCAGCTCTATGTTGAAGTTACTTGTGGCCGCCAGAAGCCGCCACAAGGCAGTGTGTGGGCCGCAGGGCTTCACGAGGAGCCAGGAGAACGGGTGGATCTGCTTTCCCGGTGATATTGGTCGCCGTGAGTCACGGCGTGACGGGCCGGAAAGCTGGTTTTATGTTGATCCTTTGCAACTGAAGCGCACAGTAGGGGCTATGTAGGACTAGTATTTCCCGCGGGGTCCTAACTAGGGATACTCTCATATTCCCCTAACTATAGAGAGCTCTCTACAGCGGGCCTGAACTTAGAATTTCCAAGACCCGCGCCCGCGGCTGATGTGTTCTCGAATTTGAGTGACTTCAGTCGACTCCGTGGGAGTGTTTCTTTCTGGAGCTACGCCGACGGCCATGCCCTAATTAGCCGCTCGAGCGCTTTCCGGCCAGCCTGCTACCTGAAGGACCGTTGACACGGATGATATCTACTCACCAGATGCTGAATTTGCCATCAGCGCAACACGGAAATGCATCAGTTGAATCCCGATATTTACCTCTGAAAGCAGCTCCGTAGTTTACTCGACTGCCCAGGCACAAGAAGTTCCATAGGAAGTTCCCAAGTGGAACCATCACTTCGGGGGCGTGAAGCCCATCTCTGCGCGATATTTCTGCCTCTCTATTTGGGTGCTAAGATCCATTCCCCAGTTTTGGCTAGAGGTGCGTTTTTTGAAGGCTCGATCAGTCTTGAAAATATTTTTTAAATCACACGATGAGGCACCAACTAAAAAGACTGCAGATGGATCTGAATTAGCCTGGGCACGAAGCGCCTCGCGGAGATTCGTCCCACTCGCCCAGGCAGGCACGTGCTTGTGGCGGCGGTCTTCATTGTCTTCGTCATCGTCCGTTGATTCTTCGCGATCGCTGATCTCGTAGGTGTCAATCGGCGAAAGGGGCTTGAGCATGGCCTTCGGCAAAGATTTATGCGGTTCTTCACGAATATCTGGTCCGGGAGTGAGAGATTTGGTTCCAGTTAGAACGGGAATCAGTGTATTTTGGTGAATGGATGCTGGAAGTTCGACGATGGGGGTTTCCCGTGATATTTCACACGCAGCTTTATCTACACGGCACTGATCTTTCTCTTGGAATTGCCGGCGCTTTTCAGCTTCTTCGCGACGCTTTATCGCTGCAACCCGACGCACCGCATCTTCATTCATCGTGCACTCGCGCTCCTTTTTAAGTTGTCCCTCTTGCTCGAAATCCTGCACTCCCGCCTGGTGAGCCCGAGCTTCTGATAGGCAACTAGATGGCGCATTTGTTGTTTCGGCAGGTCTCAATTCAGCATTGCCTGCAGATGGATATGGCAGACTCTCCGGAGCTGATTTGGGGCCTTCGCTGTCGACTAGTCCAGAAGATATGCTTGATAATGAATTGGATTCAGGAATGATCTTCCATGTTGTTGGAGCAGTTACTGAAGCCACGGCCACACCGGTCACTGCTGGAGCTGTAATTGCCTCAGGTAGCTCCTTAATCATACATTCCTGAGTCACGCAATCATTGATACATATGTTGGTATTTATTTCGGCATTCTTGGCCGCGATACTGGAAAGTTCTTGCGCCAACGAAGCCTCAAGGCGATCTTTGAGCTCCTGCTTTTTCCCGGATGCACGAAGGCCGCGGGCTTTGAGCTCGCGCTGGAGGTCCTTGAAAGTGTACCTGAATTTGTATAGCGGAGATAAGAGGGAGTGATATACCTAAAAGGACTCTGCCCTACCGCCCCAGATCTAGGGGCATACTGTGAATAACATCTCAGTTAACTTGCGAGCGTTGTCTCGAAATTTTTTTAAAAGCATGCATTCAACCATCGGAATTTGAGGTGATTTCAAGACGGTGGGTAATGCGTTGGTTCCTACTACATTCTTTTGCGTCAAAGGATTCCGCATCGAAGCGCCGTTAGGGCCACGCAACTTTTTACGGGTATGATTTAATTGTTCCTCTAGCAGCGTTCGATCTGCGCTCGCGAGATCTTGTGCTTTTGATATATAGTTATCACATAGCTTTTCAAGTCGATTAAGAACCAAGCTAACATAGTCGGTACGACCATAATCTGTACGGGCCATGGAGCTAACGGGCCGTCGGTGAACGCCAACGGTGGAAGGACTAAGCTCAAGAAGGACTAAGCTCAAGTCTGACCGTCAGCCGTCGACGTTTTCGCGCCACGGCGAAGTGCACGAAACACGGGGGGGCGTACGAGAAGCCCACGGTGAACGCCAGACACCTGTTAGAATCCGAGTATGCTAAAAGACCCCGACGGTAGAAATAGCCCTATAGCATGTAGAGAATAGCCTTGCTAAATTCCCCGCGATCGAGCTATTTCGAACTTTGGCCGGTTATGGGTGCCGTCGAGGAGTACCTCTCGGCCTTCCAGACCGGTTTGAGTCAACCGGGTGATGTGTTGAACGTGCCACGGTGCCCGTAACTTTCACCACTAACCTGCCCCGGCCGGGCTGAAATCTAGTTAGCTAGTCGTTCAACATGAAGATTTTGTTGAACTTTAATCATCGAGTTGAAGCTACAAATCCCTGGAACTTGAAGAAACCAGTACACCGTGCTCCTTGGCGCCCGCCGGTCGCAGCCGCAATGACACCGAAGCGCCACCGAAGCGCCACGGATCCCTATTGTTTTGGGTTTAGTGGCCTATTTTTCTGGGTTTAGTGCCGGGAACTGCGTTTCTGGGTTTAGTGACCGGGAAACTGCGTTTCTGGGTTTTAGAGTGCGTTTTTGAGTTTACAACAACAAGGTGGGATTTTGGGTTTTGGCGCCCTGGGCGCGACGATCTCGCGGATCTTCACCGGCAGCGTCGTGGACGTCTTCATCTCGTCGTCGAAGTTGTGCACGTGGCCCAGGCGTTCCTGAAAATAGGTGACGCCGGGCTGGTCCGCCGGGTGCACGATGCGGACCTTGCACGGGCACTTGAGCTTCTTCTCCCACTTGCACCTGCGACACGTGCGGCAGGATCGCGGGCGGCGACGCGTGCGTCGGGATCGCGGGAGGCGGAGGCGCGCGCGCGAGAGACACTGTCGAAGACTTTTTGTAGATGATCCGGTCGCCGCACTTCTGGGAGTAGCCGCCCCCGCCGGTCCACTCCGAGCCGTCCTCGCTGAGCAGCTCCAGGTGGTCGTCCAGCGCCTTCTCGTCGAACGTTCCGCCCGTCCACGTCTTCGTCGTGCGCCAGGGCACGCTGTCGTCCCGCGTCTGCTTGTGCTTGGGCTTGGGCTCCAGATCCGGCTCGTCGAAGGACGCGTCGTCGTCGTCGTCGTCGCAATCGTCGTAGATCTTAAGGCCGTCGTCGTCGTCGTCGTCGTCGCCGGACTCGCCGGACACGCCGCGCTCGTCGGGCGCCTCGACGGACGCGTCCTCCTCGTAGGCGTCGTCGTCGTCGTCGTCGTAGGCGTCGATGTCGTCGTCGGGCGCCTCGACGGGCGCCTCGCCGGCCTCGTCGTCGTCGTCGTCGTCGTCGTCGTCGTCGTCGTCCTTGAGCGCCTCGGTCACGACGCGCTTGATGAGCATCTTCCACGGCTTCGTGAGCTCGACGCCGAAGCGGTCCGCGACGGCCGCGTAGATCTCCTTGATCGTGTTGCTCGTGCCCGACACCGCGTGGGCCCGGACCCAGGCCACGACCTCGTCGCGCGCGTCGCGCGCGTCGTCGTCCTGGACGGGCAGCTCGGGCAGTTCGACGGGCGCCTCGGCCTCGTCGTCGACGGGCGCCTCGCCGTGCGCCTTGAGCGCGTCGCGCGCGTCGCGCGCGTCGTCCTTGGGCTCGGGGGGCGGCGGCAACGCGCGGCCGCGGGCTTCCTCGGCCGCGCGCCGCTCGGCCTCGAGCCGCGCGACCTCGGCGGCGGGGCGCTCCGCCCCCGCCGCGGCGGGCGGCGCGGCCGGGGCCGCGAGCGTGTGCCAGAGTCGGCTCGCGGCGTTGTAGCGCTCGAGCCGCACGTCGCCCGCGCCGGGCGGCGGCGCCTCGGCCGCCGCCTCGCGCGCGGCCGCGGCCTCGGCGTGGAAGCGCGCGACGCTCGCGGCGGCGGCCTCGGCCGCGAGCGTCGCGATCCCCGCCATACCACGGCGTTGCTGTCGGCGGTCAGCGGAGCCGTGTTTGAATATCCTAAACCCAAAAAGTCATCGTGACCGATCACTAAACCCAGGAGGTCCGTTCGCCGGTCACTAAACCCAGAAACGCAGTTCCCGGCACTAAACCCAGAAAAATAGGCCACTAATCCCAGAAAAATATTTTCTCAAGCGCCACAGGCGCCGCCTTGTCCGAAATTCGGGCATTGTGGCCGATTTTGAGAAAAAATTCTCCGATGACCGTCAGAATTTGTACTGCGCACGCGGCCGCACGCGTCCGCAGGCGTACTAGAACGCCCCAAAAAACCTCGCCCCGCCCCCAAATCTAGTCTAGTTAGTCCGCATGCTGTCTACCCTAGTTAAAATAGAGGGCTTTTGAGCCCCCAACAAAGCATACCTTTGCTGCTCAGGTTTCGCTATCTATCGCAACATCCAGATGGCCGAGGGTGATGAGCTCTATCGAGGTCTAGAGAATTCGTTTCGCGCGGGGGATTACGTGGAAGCAATGACAGCGGTAACAAACATTAAAGTGGGTTTTAAAGCAACGTGAGATAGAGCTTACTCAGTTAAACTTAGATTCTGCTGTTGTCTTTGCAAAACAAGTTAGGCGAGCGCGAGTTGCTCCTTGGTCGTATTGGTCAGTGTTGCACATAACTTGTCCAGACAAATGATCAAATAATGTCAACCCGTAGAACGGACGCTGGAGATAGCTGTGCTGCTCAGCGTGCATACTTCTGATACAGCAGGGTTCCAGCGGAACATGTCTCAGCTCAAGGCATACTATGGCCTTCCTGGGTGACTATTTATTGCTCTCTAAAGTGTTCACTTTGACATACCTATTAACACAGGCTCGCCACGAAGTCAAAGTTGCGACAGACAATCTTGGGTCTCCACCTGCTTTTCCTGATCGTTGAGAATCGATTGGCAGAATTCCATTCCGAGGCAACTTGCAGTGTATAGAATTGGGATGTCCATGTGTGCTCGGGGGGGGGGGGGTTACATTCCGTGCCTGTAGTTGGAGCTGATGGCGCCTGCAGATATGAGATGCCGAGAGGTGGAGTTCTCAATCTCGCTAGAACAATTCTTAATGGTAGGGACTTATAATCAAGTCCATGACCGGCGTTCTTTTTTTTCCCCCGACATGGAATCCATCCAGGTCCTCGCAGCCAAGACCAGCATGCCGGCACCTGAGCACTTCTCGTATTTCATGGGGATGCTCTTGGATACTGTTCGTGACACGATTGCTGAGTGCGCCGAATCTGCCTACGAATCTCTCGATTGTATCTCTGCACGCGAGATGATGATGTTCAATTCAGAACAAGAGCTCAATCAGTTCATTACACGGAGCCACTCTGGGTGGAGCCTGGTCGAAGGTCGCATTATTTTCAACACGAATAGTCATCCGAGGTCACAAGAGATTCCATCCCGTCGTCTTATTTCAGAAAATCTGATCTATGCCACCGAGCTTGAGCGCATTGTCTAAACAATCTCTGGCATGCCCGGTGAAGTAAGCTAGCGCTTTACAATACAGATCCAAGATAGTAGCAAGTTTGTTGTGAAACTTTGAAAACGGACAAGCTCCATGTGCCATACAGTGGAGGAATTGGGGTCTGAAGTTCACTTTTGAGTTTCAGGATAATCAAAAGTGGGTCGATAATCGCAGGATATACGTCGTGATAAAGCGGCGAATACCGCCCTGAGAACGAGAGTGTGATTAAGCACAATCAAAGTGCGCTTGGCGATAGCCCGGCTACCCAGGGAGACGACGCTCCATGCCTCGGGCTATGCTGCCCTATCTCGGGACTGTGCCACCCTCCCTATACGGGGACATTCTTACTTGGACGCGGGCGCTGGACGCGGGGATGTTGGCAGTTCCAGGTACTGGCCTCCCCGACCCCCCTGGGCACGCTTCCATGAGTGCCTGCAGCGCGTGCCACTTCTCTCCAAACTCCACCCTTATCGTTTAAATATCACTA